AGAGCCTCAAGCTATCCCCCTGGGTAGAGTGCCCTGGCATCACAGCTCACAGCAACCTCCAACTCCTGGGCTCAAGCAAGTCTCCTGCCTCTGCCTCCCAAGTAGCTGGGACCACAGGCGCCTGCCACAATGCCTGGCTATTTTTTGGTTGCAGCCATCATTGTTGTTTGGTGGGCCCAGCCTGGATTCAAACCCACCAGCTTAGGTGTATGTGGCTGGCACCTTAGCCGCTTGAGCCACAGGCGCCGAGCCCCAGGTGGGGTTTCTCACCCTTTTTGCACATAACATCTTTTTACTTAACACATTATAAAAAAAAAACCAACCCATGGGCAGCACCTGTGGCTCAAAGGAGTAGGGCACCAGTCCCATATACCTGAGGTGGTGGGTTCAAACCCAGCCCCAACCAAAAACTGCAAAAAAAAAAAACCTAAGTCATATTTTAATTTAATATTTCTCTTTAAATCAACTCACTTATAAGAGCTTAGATAGCTCCGGGTACTTTTGTTTTGTATTAAAGGAGAATATAACTTTTGAGCTGCCAGTTACATTTTTCCAACTCTCCATTAAATAAATATATAACTGGGGTTTTTTGATAAGACTGTTTCTATTTGCAAGCATTTGAATGTCCTCTGTTCACACAACACACACACGCAGACACATATTGCCCTCTGGGACACTAAAGATACATTAGCTTCTGTTTGTTTCCTTCAAAAATCTAGGATGAAGAGACAGGTCAGGGCTCCCTAAAAGCAAGTGAGGAAGGATGAGGACAGTCAGCTTGGGAGAGGAGCCACAAATCTGAGAAAGACAAGAAGAATGAAGAAGAGTTCACGGAGATGACAGCACCCTTTTGAGAGCAGAGTTAAAACAAGCTGAGCAAGAGTGGCCACAAAGGAAGGGGGACATGGGCCATGGTGACCTAGGAGTCCTCCCCTCACACAGCTTGGCACTTCTCAGTTGAGGTGTCCACTGTGGAACGTGTGAAAGACTTGCTCTCCCTCGCCACGGATTCATCAGTCAGCACGTTCCGAAGCAAGCTGGGCAGGGATTTGCGCAGTCGGCCCTGGAAGCCCTGGCCAGCCACCACGTAGATAATGGGGTTGATGCAGCAGTTGACATAGGCAAAGGCGATGCACAGGGTGTCCACTTTGCTCACCTTCTTAAAGAGGGATGAGTCTGGGGTAAGCAAAGCCATCATCATCCCTGTCACCTGGTAGGGCAGCCAAAAGACAAAGAAGGAGGTCACTACTACCACCACCACCTTGAGCGTCTTGGTGGACCGTGTGGCCCTACGGCTCCATGTCCGGAGCAGAAGGAAGGTATAACAGATAGTGAGGGTGAGAAGCGGCCACACGAAGCCCACAACCAGCCGGACGATGGCCACGGCACGTTCTGTGTGCCTCCTGCCTCGGCCATAGTCAGTGCCACACGTCGTCTTGGAGGAGAAGTGATCTTTGTGCACCACGCGGTACAGGAAGGAGGGTATGGTCAGCAGCAGAGCCAGGCCCCAGGCCACACTGCAGGCCACCCAGGCCAAGCCAGTGGCTCGGAAGTTCTGGCACCAGACAGGGTTAAACACCAGCACAAAGCGGTCGGCGCTGATGGCGGCCAGCAGCAGGATGCTGGCATACATGTTGAACAGGATGAGGGACGGCAGCACGCGGCAGGCGGTCTCCCCAAAGGGCCAGTGGTTGTACTGAATGATGGAGGTGAACAGGATGGGCAGCGCCAGGCAAGAGAGGAAGTCAGCTACCGCCAGGTTGAGGAACCAGATGGCATTGACCGCCCGCCTGGCTTCAAAGGCTGTCACCCATACCACCAGGGCATTGCCCGGCACTCCCACCAAGAACACCATTGCATAGATGGACAAGGCCACGATGTCCAGAGGTTTCAGCTTGTCGGAATGGTTGTCCACAAAGATGTTGGGATCCAGGGTTCCAGAATAGTCAGGATAATCATAGGTGCTGTTCTCCATGGGATCCTAAGTAGAATCAGAGAGGTCAGAAGACGATGAGTCGGCAGACACGTTCTCAGGGGCCTGTCATAGCCATGTGAGTTTTTGCCCTTGTGTGCCTCAGGTTTCTCCCAGGAAATAGGGATGCTGAGGGCTGAGAATTAGCTGGGATGTCATGTATTTATTAAAATATTAAAATGCTTCCACTCTGATAGGGCCTCCTGCCACTCTGTCACCTCCCACAAAGCCCCTGGACTTCTCCACAATCCAGCAACCTGGTGGTTAAAGCCTCCTCCTGCTGCAGCCCTGTAGCCACTATCCATTTTATTGGTCAGTGCCATGACAGATTGTTAGATTTTGTTTTGTTTTGTTTTTAGACAGTCTCACTTGAGTGCCATGGTATGTGCCACCTGGCTAATTCTTCTATTTTTAGTAGGGACGGGATCTCGCTGTTCCTCAGGCTGGCCTCAGACTTCTGAGCTCAGCCAATCTACCTGCCTCAGCCTCCCAGAGTGCTAGGATTACAGGCATGAGCCACTGTGCCCAGCCAGATATTTTTAATATTATCTACAAATGGGGATGTATGAATGGATAGCGGCCCCGACACACGTGGCACACCACCTCCACCCCCTCTTCCCACGCATGTGGCACACCACCTCCACCCGCTCTTCCCACGCATGGGGCACACCGCCTCCATCCCTAAAGCAGATAGTCAGCTCCATGCTCTATGTCCAAGAGGCTACCCAAAGAAGGCAGTGGTTTGGCAATGCCTCACTCATTTGGGCACAAAATTTAGTGGAGGGAGACCCAAAAATTCAGTCATCAAAATAAATAATATTTTAATACAATATTTCAAAGAATCAAAAATAATGCCCCCCAAAATCCATGGTTTTGTTGTTGTTTTGAGGCAGAGTCTCACTCTGTTGCCCAGGGTAGTGTGCTAACGTGTCATAGCTCACAGCCACATCAACCTCAAACTCCTGGGCTCAAGTTATCCTCTTGTCTCAGTTTCTCAAGTAGCTGAGAGTACAGGCACCTGCCACAACACCCAGCAAATTTTTCTATTTTTAGTAGAGATAGGGTCTCGCTCTTGCTCAGGCTGGCCCTGAGCTAAATCAATCCTCCTGCCTCCCACTCCCAGAGTGCTTAGATTACAGGCACCAGCCACCAATTGTATTTAAAAACAGCCTGTCCTGGTTTGTTTTACAACCCTGCATTATTGTGCAATGGGGATGGTAGTTGCCAATCAGTCCATGGGTTCCACCCCTAGCTGGGCGGGTTTATGGAGGTTCAGCAACCTGACTGTGTATGCAAACCTATTGGGTAACTCCGGCTTTTATGTATAGTCATAGGTGTTTTGTGGGTTTGAAAAGGTTGAAACTTTTGTTAATTTTTTCTACTTGGTTCAAACCAGGGAATGATATTTTAGGAGTGTATTTAGGGGCTCACATGAGGCACCCTTTTGCCCTAGACTGCAGTACTGGCTCAGCATGGCTCTGGGATTAGTTAGGCTCCTTGGCTTTGGAGTTAGTCCCCTAGCAGATCCTTATTGCCCTTCACAAGCCTGCAGGGCCCTCTGCAATTTCCTTCCCTGCTCTCCTCCCTTTTTTTTCTTTTCTAGTTAACTCCCATAAAGCACTTCCTCCTCCATCAGTTATAACTATCATCATTCCAAAATCCTAAACTGTTAGGAGGACTTTTCCACAAGAAGAAGAATAAGAACTTGGAATAAGAAACAGATTTTTCCTTTGCTGGGGAGATGAAAGGAATGGAGAAGAATAGCAAATTCAAGAACAAAAGGGACCTTCACACCGAGATTATGGTCTTTAAATACCATTTGCCCTATCAAAAGAACCAGGGCTCCTTGGAGAAAAGCCTGATTCATTCCTAATCAGGAAATATACAAGATGAGCCCACAACAGTTTGCAACAGAACATTAGGAAATTCTAGGTTTTGTTTTTTTGTTTTTTTTTAGACAGAGTCTCATTTTCTCACCCTTTGCC